AAAACCAGTATTTACTTTATCGACAAACGAAGACCACAATGATTTCAAGTTCTCAAAGTGAAATATGGCGGTCATGGAATCTGACATTTCTAGATGAGCTTGTACATTAATTGTACGATTGAATTCTAGTTTCCTTAGATTTTTTTTGGCATCTCTGAGATGTACAACTGGCTAATATGCTCAGCTGCTAATAAAAACCCTCAAGTCCCCCCAGGGATACCTTGGAAGAGGGGCCTGACAACTACTTTAAAAAAGCAAACCCAAACCAAAACAGCCATTAAAAAATCCTATGGGTCCCAATTCTCCTCGACATAGATGGGATCTCCTTGTATGGGAATCAACTCCATGGCAGCTGGTGGTGGTGACAGATTTTGCAATGGTATTTCCTTGGCCTCTGATCGAGCAAGGAAGTTTCTATGAGGGGACACCCCAGGCTGTCGTTATGTCAACCCGAACAACGGTCTCTGATTTATTCCTAATGATTATCAACTCCCCTGCTCCCACCCAGCCTCCTCTCCTGCAAAGCTTTGTTTTGTGACCTTGTTAATTTATCACCCAATATTGTTTTCACACATTTTTAATTTTATATTTTTAATTTCTTTAGAATAAATCAAGATAATTCTGTTAATGCAAGTAATTTTTATGTTTATGCAATAAAAATAAGTTTGTTTTTTCACTTTTACATTATTATTTGTGCTTTTGATGAAGAAGCAAAAACAATCAAAATAGTCATTATTTTTAAGACACACAGTTTGGGCTTTGTTCAGGATGGACCAATTTCAACTCAATGTTACAACTCTTCCAGTCTTCACAGATCATGAAGCCACACTAGAAGGACAGAGGCATGGATACTACACATGAATCTGCCATATCTATCACATTAAGAACCATTGCAAAACAGATATTCAATTCCATTTCAAAATCATTGCCAATCGAGGGAGGTTTCATAATGGAAAGTTGTTAAAACTGAAAGATGAAATTCAGTTCTTCAGTTAGCATTGATTGAGTACCCATTCTGTGTAGCTACTCTGCGAGAGCTACAGAAGCCTCTGCCCTAGAGGTCACAGTCTACTTGTGAAGAAAAGTGCAAAACAATTTACCATTGAGGAAATCATTGAAATGTGTGCAAAATGCAGTGGCAGAGAACACAACAAAGTGATTAGCTTAATCAAGTTTAGGGAGTCAGTGCGGACGGAGTTCACATTAGCCAGTCCAAGACACAAGGCAGGTGAGCTTTCCAGATGGAGGGTGCACCTTGGGAGAGGGGTGAAACTCCCTTACCCGTGGCTCGCTAAGGGAACTGCAAACAGAACATCCTTCATACCTTGGAAGTACCATGAACGGTTAAAAGGGCAAACCAATCTGTTTTCAGATTACTGCCGGAGTATCCTTAGAGGGAAGGCAGACGAGACTTTGGACGTTAGGAGAGACCAAACCTTGGAGAAGGCATCATGCTTGATAAAGTGAAGGGCCAGTGAAGAGGAAGGCCCTCAAGGATATGGGTTGACACTGTGGCTGCAACAATGGGCTCAGGCATGGGAACAATTGTGAGAATGGTGCAAGACTGTGCAAGATTTCCTTCTGTTGTGCACAGGGTCACTATGTGTTGGAGCTGATAGATGGCACCTAACAGCAACGTGCGTTACCACGTCCATGGATATAGTTGCAGCACGTTTATAAAATGTCCTGTCAAATATTTACACACATGTAATTCTATCTCCCTCCCAAAACTGCTAAACCCACATGTCTCCCCATGCGTCTACTCATAGATCAGTTATTGTAGGATTGTGTATATAACAGCATTTATCTTTGTTGCCTTGATCTCTTATGCTTTTCCTGGTGTCCTTCCTGCCATCATTCTTTGCTCCTCTCTCTCTTACTGCACACCGCCCTCCCCTTTACCCAAGTTCTATTCCTCTGCCACTCCCCAGATGCCAAAGCTACCTCTGGATCAAGGTTACAAGTCACATGGAATAATTCATACAGCCCCTGTAGTCGGTGACGTGTTTGGTAAGCTATACACAGGGCTCTTTGTCTTGGATTTTGGAGAACTTGATTATATTATTGGCAATTTCTTTTGGGTTTTCTCTTATTTGTGGCTCATTCAGCTTCTTGAATGTTTATTTTGTTTCCTGGTATTAGGGAAACTTCCTTTTAATAGCACTTTGTCAATTTTCTCTTTGCTTTTTTTCTCTTCCTATTCTGGAATTGTTTACATGCAACTTATTCTTCTTGATTGTGTCCCACATAGCTCTTAAATGTTCTTGTAATGTTTTGTTGTTGTTGTTGTTCCTCTTGCAAATTAACATTCCAAGATTTTTATTCAATCTCACCAGTTTAGCCTTGCATTGATTCCATTTTGTTTTGCTTTTTCCATATATTATCTATTCCAGAAATGTTAGTATTGATCTTCTGGTTTTCTATTTGCTATTTTTGTATGGCTTCTAATTTTCCATTTATTTAGTCAATTTGCTCTTGTGTTTTCCTGAGTTCTTGTAATTTTTTTGTTTTCCTTGAATTTGTTTTTCTTTTTCTTGATCTTTTTCTAACCATTCCAAACCAAAAAACAAACTCACTGCCATCAAATCATTCTGACTCAGCGACCCTATAGAACAGAGTGGAATGGATTCCATGGACTTCCAAGACTGCAATGCCTTACGAGAATAGAAAGCCACATCGTTCTCCCACAGGGCAGCGCGTGACTTCAAACTGCTTTGTGGTTAACAGCCCCAGAGTCCAAATAGCATTTTTTTTAAAACAGAATTCTTATAAGGTAGTTCCCAGAGTCCAAATAGCATTTCTTAAAAACAGAATTCTTACAAGGTAGTTCCCATGTCATTTATTCTTTAAAAGTGTCTTCTGGCTCTGTTTTGGTCACTTGTTGGAACCACCCTCCCTTGTTGCTTTGTGTGAACTGAAACTGTTGTCTCCAAGACACTGTTTATTTCTATTTAATTACTGAATGAATGTTGATGTGCTCTCAGGCACTTACCACCTGTCTTGCAGTGGTGTGAGAATGTAAATGTGGTTGCAGTTTTCTGTTGTTTGTGTGCCACAGTTGAGCTTGGGTTCGGCTAGTTTTGGGTGCTATTTGTTGACTATCAAGTAGTAGAAAAGCAGAAGTGGCCCTTATTTGATGGACAATTCTTCAGGATGTGCTATGACATGGCCTTGTGGATATGCTGGCTACCTCTCATAGAGTAGGTCAAGAGAAACAAAAAAGGAAAAAATAAGTAACAGCAAAAAGAAAGCAATAAAAGAGAAACTAGTGGGGAAACAGGCAAACAGCAGTAAGGAAAAAGACTTTAATTCCTACATAGCAAAAAATGGTAAATAAAAATAAGGGAAAAATAAGAAAATAAATAAATAAATATAATAAACAAAATCTAAGGCGTTAGCAGCGAGCAAACGGGAGAGTAATGAAACAAATAATATAAAAGGAAAAAGGACTGAAAAGAGAAATTAAAAGCAAAGACAGAATGAATTAAATAAGGGAAAGAAAAGGAAAAACAAAATAAAACTAAAGAAAGGAGAACATTGTGGGAGACAGCGCATCCAGGACGGGTTGACACCTTCTACCAGATAAGCAGCTCATGGATTGGCTGGTCTTGGCTGTTGTCTCCAATGATAATGTGGCCCAGGAGTGGGTACTGGCCCTCTGCCAGTAAGTGGTGCCGTAGGTTTGGTTGTAGCTGGGCTTGGTGGGCATGTTGTTGTCTTCCCTCCAGTGGTACAAGAAAAAATATACAGCAAAAAGAAAATAATAAAGGAAAAAAATAGAATAAGCAAAAAACTAGGGAATAAGCAAATAACTAGGAGAATAGTAAAGGAAAAAAATCTATGAAAAAAGAAAAAGAACAGGAAAATGACAAGAGAAACAGAAGGAAAGAGGCTAAAAGATGAAAAAGGAAAAATAAAAAATAAAGAAAAGAGAATATGGGGATGGGACAGGGTACCGCTGCCAGTCAAGCGCTCAGTGTGGAGGAATGCAACGGGAACAAGCTGGGGCCTGAAGTCCTGGGTAGAGTTCTATCCTACCTCTGTCAAAAGGGACCCTTGTGGCTCTGCTGGGTAAGCACTGGAGCTACTAACAACAAAGCCGGCAGTTCAAAGTTACCAACTGCTCAAGAGAAAGATGAGACTCCTTGTTCACATAAAAACTTACCCCGGGTAGGGTTGCTGAGTCAGAAACGACACAATGGCAGTGAGTTTGGTTAGATGTGGTCTGGAGTCAGGGCACCTGATCTGAAAATGGTTCGTTCCTCCTCAGATGGTGGTTGAGGTCAGGGTGCTTGTTCCTGGAAGGAATCCTTTCAGGGCCAGGGAGCAGCAGGGGACAGGGCAGCTGGTTACGGAAGGAGATTGTACCCTTTCAGGGGTAGACAAGGATCTGGCACTGTGTATTCAGCAGGTCTGGTGAGGCAGCATTAACGTGCCCTCAGATTGGAGAGTGGTGCACGCAGTGCCCACTCCTTGAAGGCAAAGCTGTGACCTCGGGTGGAACTAGTGGCTAGGTGGATAAGGGTGGGACCTGGTCATACTTCTGGCCACCAAGAGGGAATGGGATAAGGGAAAATTACCTTTCTTGTTGCTGTCCACCATTGTGCATTTGTGGAAGTCAGGATACTTGACGGCTGTTACAAAAATTCAATATGGCAGTGCTACTGTCAGGTTGGCTGGCATTCTACCCATTGTCTCCCCTCTCGGTACTTTCGTTCAGCTTCATGTTAGTCAGGATTTGACCCACTTCTCCATCCTTTTCTCTGAAGCTCAGGACTATAATCTGTATGCTTCATTTGGTTTTCCCCGTATTTGTTGTAGTCTGTGTAGCTTGTCTGCCTAGTTCGCCACCTTGCTGGAAGAACTGATTTGTTGTTTTATGATTCTGTTAGTATAGCCTTAGAAGAATGGTAGATTAAATTTGGGGTTATTTATGTAAATATGTAAAAACAAAGTCTTCCTACTAATAAAAACTCTTTTTTCTCAGATACCATATTAATATGAAGACAAGTATAGTGAAAACACAATTCTCTTTTGTAAATATCCCCAATGTGGTTTTACCAGATATTGAAATGGAAATAAGAAGGATGGAAAATGGAGACTGCAGGTAAATCTATGGGTTATTTTCATGTAGTTTTATTCCAGTCACAGGGTTTTCATCTAATTGCATTTAATTTCAATGTAACTTGAAATTTTATAACCCTGAACATAATGTTTATTTATACTTTGGAACAGTAAAAGTTGTCTAACAAATGAATATAGAAATTACTGTTCAATCAACAGATACACCTATTAAGCACTTTGCTGAGTATTTCCTCAATCACTAATATGGTCTTTTCTCATGAGAGATTTCAAATCTAAAGGGCAACATTGCCATAAATAAATGTGAGAATGTATATAGAGTAAGAAATGTTAAAAACATGTCTTAAAAGTGATTATCCTATAAATGAACAGAGTATGTTTCGGTGTGATTGAATTTCTTTTTAGTGGTATTATTATTACACGCTAGCTCATATAATTGTATAATACAATTTGAAATACAGATATCACACTTCATATTAATACATATTAACACCCATGATGCACCAAACAAGAATGTGAAAGATCCCGCAAGGAGTTTCTAAATTAAATGCATTTGACTGAATTGTGCAGATAATCTTGACATAACTTTACATACTCTGTACAGTTCTCATTTGATTCATTAAAAATTGCTGTGCATGGACCGTGAGAGGGAAAAGAAAGAGTTGGGAGTCATGCGCAGCCTAGTGGGAAACTTTTATACACACAGCAGTTTAAAACATTGGACTAATTTCTCTCTTCCCCCCGTTGGGCCGTAGCTCTTTTTCTGAAGATGAGAGTGCCTCTTCATTTGAAGAATCAGAAAGCGAAAACCTGCCTGCAGGAGGAGCCCTTAGGAAGAGTTCCCGCAGAAAGCGAGGACCTTCACAGAGGTGAGCACTATGACGGTACCTCAGTATCTGCTCTCAAACGATTACTTAAATGAGGGGTCTTCTCCTGTCCTCAGAGTGAACTTGGCAGATGTGGTTGCTATCCAGTCATTATGCAGGACCTTGGAGGACTTGCTATTTCTGCTCCTTACTCTCTTCCCCGCTGGAGAAACTGCTACTGTTTCATGATTATTCAAGTAATAAGCATTTTTTGTATACTGATCAAATTCCCTAAGAGTCCCATCTGCCCATAAGAAACCTACTGCCCCAGCCCTCCCTAACGTCCCATGCCTTTATGATCCTTTTCCCAGGACTCTGAACAAACTGTGTGAAAGAGGTATTGTCCTGCTAAAAGGCTCTATTACTCTTGAACTTATTTTCAGGGAAGCAAAGCCCTACAGTGAATATTCATAGAAGAAAAGCTAAGAACTCATAAAACGAGATAGAATGGGTCCTGTATTCTTCAAATACCGGAGACTCGCGGATGTGGCAGGGGTGCAGTGTTGGTGTGCATCACCAGCCAGGAAAGACTTTAACTTATTTTCCACCCCCAATTTTTCTTTTTAAATATTTTGTTGTTGTTTTGAGAATATACACAGCAAAAATACACTAATCCAATCATTTTTTCCTGTACAGTTCAGTGACATAGCGTATTTTTTGTTAAATTACACGATGATTCTCATCCTGCTTTTCTGAGTTGTTTCTCCTTCAATAACACAGACATACAGCTTCCTGAATTCTTATCTAATTGTTAGCGTTGCTGTTGTGACTCCTATGATTTTTCAAACAGCATAATTCTCAAGGCAGAAAGTTTTTATTAGTTAAAGCTAAACTGCTGTTCGGTTCTAATTGTGAGAAGTCAGAATTGACTTGATGGCGGGTGAGCTTTATATTTTAAAGAGATATATACGAGTTAAGGGAAATAGTTGTGAAGATTTGTGCAGCCCGTGGCTTCAGAAAGTCTGCAGTCCATAAAAATATGAAATTCTGTTTAGCATCCCCCACCCCCGATCAGTATTCTGCTGTGGGATATTTCATCAAAATATTCAGTACCAGTAGATGGACACCAGTCAATTCTAGTCTCATGGCAAAGGAAGTCATAGTTCATGGAGGTAAGTAGCACACATTCCAAATCTTCCTATTCTTCTCTTTTTTTGGGGGTAGGGGGGAGACAAGTTTTAATAAGATACGTAACAACTCCAAGTACTAAGCATGATAGCAGAATTCAAATTCATGGGTTTACTTTTAATTAGCATTGAGAGCAAATCCATTCACTGAATCCTATCTTACTTTTGATTTCACAATGCATTGTTGAGTTTTATAATTAAGGGAGGGGGGATGTCCATCGAATGCATCATTTTCTAAAAAAATGCAATGAACATTTCCAAATCACACTGAGGATAGCCGGAAAGTTAACTCTATTAATAGAATTATGTGAAGAACAATTTTATCCTGCAGATAAAAATACACATCTTGCATACACATGTAGGCTCCCAGATGAAATGATTCCACACCAAATAGAAAAAGGGCTGATCCTTGGTAAAGACATTTTAGATTGCCAACCTGAAGTTAATACCATTGTAGGAAGAGTTGAAAACAGAAGGCTACGAGGTCAACTAAAGGACGGAGGGCAGTCTTGCCGTCCGCTCTCCACAGTAACAGAGTTCGGTGAGGAACAGGAGACAAAGGCAGATATAAGGCACAGAAGACAGGCAAAGAAAGCCTCAACTCTGGCTGAAAATGGAGAACCAAGCAAAGTTCAGAACAGACATGACATAGCTGCAGCGAGATGCTCAATTCTCAAATGTGGTGGTTGGTCGTTACAGAAGCTATTATGGTCTTCAAGTCAATTTAGATAAAACATCTGACATTTAGTGGAGAGCCAGTGTTACAGCAACCAGAGAGATGGCTCAGCACGAAGTTACCATTTTCAAACTTTCCCAATAACGTCGAACCCCCAGACGCTCTTTGCTTCAGATCATGTAGCTGAAGCCTACAGTCTCTAACTGAGAGGGAGAGAGAACACAACGCTCCAAATGGAAACACTGCTGACATAGGTCAGGGCCAGAAATGTCACTGGAGACATGCACAGCTTCGGCCCTGGCTCTTGGGCATCTTGATAAAGAGGGGACTGGACCAGGTCTTTTGCAAGCAAAGCATTCCTCTTTTTGGCTGAGAACAAATTAAACTGCGATTGTTCACAACAACTCCAATTTTGGTGAGGAGAGTGGGGGTGGGGGTGGGGTGAGAAGTTAAGCAAGAAAAGGAAGTATTACAGAAATTTCATGGAAGGGCAGAAGCATTAATGCTGTAGGCAGAACCAACTTGTACACAGAACTGGCCTCATCACAGAAAAGCTTCCACATTTCCAACTGATGAGAATGATGGCAATAATACGTGGGATTCTTGATCAATGGGAACCATTGACTGTCTCTTTCCCAAGCCTAGAGGCTCTCCTTTTTCCCAGATCCTACATTGAAAAGACCATGGTGGCAAACGTCAGCCAGCAGTCGGGGAGGTATGTTGGAAGAAAAGAAATTACCTTGAAATAAAGCAGCAGGTGTTTTTGGTCAAATTTCAGACCTGTGTAAATAGAAATGGATTGCTGGCCCACCAGGTAAAAGATGAAGGGAGGCTCAGGAAAGTAGTGAGTGCCCTTGGCTTTTGTCATCGGCGTTGGCGTCTGTTTTTTAAACCTAGTTTACTAAATATTTTTTCTTTGGGATCTGTTTATAACAACTCCAAGAACATTTTCATGTGAGGATTCAAACTGGTCATATTAAAATACAGCTTCAATATCAAACTTTTCACAGTTTTACAGTATTCAAAAATGACAGACCTGGCTTCAAAACAAAACCAAAAAGGACTATTATATCCCAAACATAAGAAAACAATTAAATAAACCACTTTGGCATTTTCATAACTTTATAGTATAAAATGGAATATTATATCTATTACTGGCAAGGCGATACAGATACACTATCTATTTGATATATGTGTTCTATTTAAATACTCTATATAAAAGACTGATGATCTTTTTCATGAAAGAAGTGCACCCTGAATTTTTTCTGCCAGTTTATAATTTTTAGCTTTTAAAAGTCAAAATGTCCTTTGTCTCTTTGAAATTGAAGGCTGAGTTCAGATTCATTCATTTATTTATTTGTTTCTTCTGCCAGACTTCCTGTTTTTAAAAATAATAGTGTCTATGGACGTCTACCAGGGGGCAGTGAAAGATTAGCCATTAAATCACAAACAGCTGCAAAAATTGTGCATTCGCCTTGCTGCAGCGGGTTCATCTCTGCAAACCTCCTTAGAATGTTGCTGACCATCATGTGAGCAGTAACTGACGAGTTCTGCTGTCTGGGGATGTCAGCCTGCTGGGTGGTACCTGAAGCCATGTCATAGATGATGGGAACTATAATACTACCAGGCTCTTGGGGGGGCCCTGATGTTTTCTGCGTCAGTTGAAGAAAAAACAGCACTTTGGACTTCAGCACCACAGCAGGAGTCCCCGGAGGGGCTATGGGAGGTGCACTGGGTGGGATTGTCAGGCAAAATTGAACGTTCCACTTGAGCTGTGTTGCCTGGTCAGGGAATAGCTCTAGCGTCATAATGTGCACACAGTCTCTGAGGATGTATGTAGGTGCTCTTAACAGCTTGGTGAACGCTATTAATGTATTGGCTTTAAATGGTGGTCCTGCAACTCTGGTTTCAAAGAATTTCTCCAAAACTTGAAGCTCATCTGGCTTCCACTGTCCTGCTTCGTCAGGCATCACTTTCAGCTGAAGTGTTTGGCTGGTTTGGGGGCTAAGGGCTACTCTGCATTTCAGTGCACCAGTCGTAAACATGATCACACCTGGCTCATTGGAATTTATCAGCTGTAGCGCTTCTTGTTGAATAATCCTTTGAAGGAGTCGCCTCATGATGACTGATCCAAGGAATCTCTCAAGTGGCGAACACAGGTAACTCCCTGCCAGACCAGGTATGAGGCCTGGTGTTGGAGAGGGCAGCAGTAAAATTTTCAAGGCACTGTGCGTGAGGATGGTTGAGATAGATGTTGCCCAGGGGCTCTGGGGGAGTTTGCGGTGTGGAGGCGTGTTTGTTGGCATTGTTTGGGAACTCGTGCCAGCTCGAGGGGAATGAGGAGCTTCTGGAACTGGAGAAGGCAGCAATGGGTTACCTGGTGACATTCCAAGCACGCATGTGGCTGGGGAGGGGCCAGACACTTGGGGAGACCATGGCCAGTTCCCCGCTCGTTCACTTGGTGAGACCACGGTGTATGGAGAACTAGGGTCAAGGGCTCTGTGTGGACTAGCAAAGCTGGACCCTGGTCCTACTGAGATTCCATGAGAGGATGGGGGAGGAGTTGGAACAAATGATGCTGGTGATGGGGCTCTCAAAGCCCCACTGGGGGAGCTGGCAGCATGCAGGTTTCCTGGGGACTGTGTGTGCATCAGAGAGGGAACCTGATTGGCTGCACTGTGATAAACTCTAGGAGGGGAAGTCAGAGGATACGTGCTTGACGATCCTGGTTGCTTCGGAAATGGCTGTTGTTGGGGTGGTGGCTGGTGCTGGAATTGGGATATTAAAGCATCCATCGTTTCTCCTCCTATAGGAAAAGAGGGATTATCATCTTCATTCATAGTCCTCCTTCGGGCATCCTGATAGCTGTCAACAAACATATTCAGGAACGTCTTTAATCCTGGCACAGGATAAAAACCTTCAACTAATTTGCTATTATCCAAAAGACTATAGGCACCATCCCGAATTGCCACAACGCCTTGACTCCGGCAGTATATGTCAATGCAATACATGTTCCTGAAGGCCAGTCGGATGTGGGTGGGTGACTGTGGCAGAATAGAGAAGCATGGATAGGCAGTGTTGGTTCTCTGGGTCAAGCCTAACATGGGCACGGTGGGAAGCTTGTTGATGGCATTCAATGGAGCCTGCGTATCAAACAGTACCTGTACTAACTGAACCACGTTTGGTGTTTTGTTGAACAGTTCTTGAAGCTGATGAAGGATGGTACTGTGGCAGTTACGGCAGCCTGAGTTTGGGCCAATCGTTCCTAATGAAATGTGAAATTTCTGATGTATGGAATTCCATTGGATACTAATTGAGCTTCCCTTGGTGGTTCCATAACACAAGACAAGTTTTCGGTAATTATAAACACGGACTTCCGCGAAAATACTTAGATGAGCAGGTATCTCTGGTAGAGAATGTGCATATTCCAACACACACTCATATAATCGTGCAATGCTATTCCAGTCATTAAGGAACATCTCAACCACCTTTCGACCACCAACAGGTCCAGACAACAGATTTTCATAGGTCAGATACACATGCCTGGATGGCTCTTGCTCCCTGGTTGAAGTGCCATTAAGTGGACAATCTGCAAACACTAGCTCCACCACCCATGTGCGGTTATTTCTACCTTGTAATCGAAAAGTGCAATCAAGAAGTGAGCGGTCCAGAGTCTTTTGGGTTTCCTCACTTACCCCCTGACATGGAGGACTTCTTAATAAGCGGATTGCATGACTGAAGCCATCTCCTTCCATCTGCACTCCTTGATGTGGGATCTCCAAACTGGAAAACTCCAACTGAAGTCCTACAAATGGCATGTTCCTATCGCACATAGCAACCAAGTGAGCTAGAACTTTATTGAAAGCACACATTTCTCCTGATCGTTGGGTCCTCTTGGGTTCTAGGGGACATGGATCCCCAGACAACTTGCGCTTGGCACCGCTTCTCAGCGGTTTCCCAGCTTTCACATGCATGCCCATGTCCTGGATGTTTTCCTTGAACTGCTGCAGCATGACTGCGGCGACAGGGGTGTCCTCATAGTACGTACCGTTCACAGATAGGAAGTAGTACTTATACGCAAGCTCAGTGGGTTTATCGGGAACCTCCAGCAACTCCACAACAATGTAGTATTGTGGAAACCGGGTAAGTTTAATAAACAACTTATTCTTAGAAAGTTTGCCAATAGGATGGGTTGAGTAATTGGAAAGCTGCAACTTTTCACTGCAGATGGCAGGCAGATGTTTTATAGATTGTTTGCAACGCTGCTGTCCAAGCCAAAACTTAAGTTTTTGAATGCATGGGATGATCTGTTTCACATGATCATTCACAGATTTCTCCATGTCATCTAGAGTAGCCTGGTCAAGTCCATAAAGCACCAATTGGAATATTCCAGAATGCAAATCAACAAAAACATGGAGACACTCCGAACTATTGCAGGGCTCCAAGATGGGAACTACAAGGGCTGGAAGTGCAGTGTTTATGGAAGAGCTTTCATTGCCATTGAAGCCCCTCAGAATACCCTTTAGCTCCTGGAGTTTCTGATGAGCCCTTGCATGGACACTGTCAATCAGGAGTTTTTCGATAGATAAGTGATCAATCTTCATTGCTCTTTCTACTAATTTGGAATCAGAAGCTGGCAGGGGAGGGTCATGAAAAATTTGTAAAGGCTTAGAGACATCATTCTCGTCGATTTTAATTGTTACTTTGTGAACAGATGCTGTTCCAGTTTTTCTCCCCAGAATCTGTTGGTTCCACATGGAGAGAGAGAGGTGCTTTCCAGCATTATACCTTTCCACTTGCACAAGGTCTCCCCACCGTTCTCGGATTAACATCAGCGTTTGGGAATGCAGCACTTCTAATTGCAGTGACAAGCAGAACGAATGCAGACAGTTGTACATGTCCTGAAGAGGATTCTCATCAGCAAAGAGCCTGGACTGCACCAGCTGATGGATAAAGTGGACTTGCATACTATGGACGAGAGCGCGGCCATCTCCAGTTTCCTTATCCTTAACCAGAATTTCCAGCTTGAGAAGACACCATGGCACATCAGGGTCATCGCCCATCACAGTCAAGGTGGCTTCGAATTCTCCTTCAACTCGAAATTTCACTCGGCCACTGGCCACTGTCAGATTTGCTAACTGAGGAGGGAGACGCGTGGTGACAAGCCGATGTCTTAGAATCTGGTTCAGCTGATGAAGCGCGGTTTGCTTCTCACTGCTAGTGACTGAATCGGGAGGAATAATCCTCTCCCTAATGCAGGTTGGCAGCCGTGGGTAAGAGCCGGTTGTTAGTACATCGATGGCATAGGGGATGGCATAGCCGGGCAGGCGTGCATGGACCAGAGCGTCTCGAGCTAAGGAGGCCAGGCGGTCAGCTGTGTCCACAAACAGGATGGCTTGGCGATCTAAAAAACTGGAAATCGTCGCACACGTTCCCACTTTGCCAGCATGAGTAGCCCACTTTACCACAGCTAGTAGTCGAACGAATAGTTGGCGTGTTCGGCTGGCAAACTGCACTATTTCGATTTTCCTTTCGACATCCGATTTCCTTGGCAGCAGGTCTGTCAACACCAGGAGCTCCGAGTAGGTCCGGTGGAGCAACAATTCGATGAGGCTGCTGAGCCGGTAGCCAGGGCTGGCAGCGGCCGCCGGGACTCCTGGGGGAGCTGGTGCCTGGGCTGACGCGGGGCCTCCCCGCAGCGCCAGCGAGTGGTTGTCCAGCCGCACAAGGGCCATGGCAGCGCGGGGTCGGGACTGGCCCTCTGGCACACGATGCGGCCCTCCAGCGCCCGGTCACCGCGCCCAAGAGGGTGCGGGTAGACTGTTGACCGCCTCCCGCCTGGCAGCCTCCTGACAGGAAACCGTGAGCGGGCAGCGGAGGACCGCCCCCACGACGTGACACGCGCCCGCCGCCGGGACTGGAGCGTGGGAGCCGGAGTGCGGGGCGGGGCTGCAGCCGCAGACCTGGAGCTGCGCCTCCCGGACCAGATCGGAAGCCACTGCACAGAGGAGCAGCCGCAGCGCCCCTGGTGACTGCTCCCAGCTGAGGTCCTCAGGCCCTGGCTCTGCTTTTTCTGTTGCTCTCCAGTCTGGATGAATAGAGAACAGTTATCTCTATTAGACTTGAATACAAAGTGAACCAAATAGTAAACAGAAGCACTAGCCATACTGTTAGCCATTCGAACCCAGAATCCTAAGACTTAAAACCAGGGAATATGCCATGAGGTTTTTAGTTGTACATTTTCTTTCTTTTTCCTTCTTACATTGTTGTCAATACATCTACATATATATATCTATTCAACTTTTTACAGGCATACAGCTTGTGGGCAGCAATGGCAGTGATTGCTTGGATGACCCTATCCTTCATCTACAATGATTTCATCACCAATAATCTCTTTCTTCCAACCTCGTACCCCTGACCAACTTTTTGTTTTGATGCATCCGCCTTTTCTGGCCTTTTTAAATACTTGAAACCATACAGTGCTTGTCCTTTTGTGATGTACTCCTTTCACTCAACAGTCTTTCAGCTCCATCTATGTTTTAGCTCCACCACTTGCCAGTCCGTTTGTCATCCTGGGATGGCTTGTGTGTTGCTGTGATGCTGGAAGCTAAGTCACCGGTATTTCAAATGCCAGCAGTGGAGCTTCCAGACAAAGAACAGACAAAGGAGGAGGACTCATTTTACCACTGGAAGCAAAAGGCTGCTGAAAAACGTATGCATAGCTTTGAAACACTGCCATTTACTGAAAGCCTAAACAAAAGAAGCAGAATATTGTCTGAGCTACTGCTGGAGGATGAGACCTGCAGGTCCAAGGACACTCAAACTGTGAATGAAGAGGAGACGACTTCTTTGAGGGGAGTCAGCCACGGGGACGTGAGTCGGGTAAAGCCCGTGGGAGTGAAACCTTTGGGATCTTCATTTACTGATGAGGCAGGACTCAAGGTCAAGAAACACAGCTGCAAAAGTTTCTAATGACTGGAACTTGGAACGTACAAAGTAGGAATGTAGGAAGATTGGAAGTGGTCGAAGTGAAATGAATGCATGAAGATCAATATCCTAGGTATTAGTGCATACCTGCAACTGAAACAGGCTGCTACTGGCCATTTTAAATCAGGAAATCACATGGTTTACTATGCTGGGAGTAACACAATCAAGAGGAATGGCTTGGCATTCATTGTCAGAAAGGATCTTGCTAAATCGATCACAAAATACAGTGCTGTATGTGACAGAATTATGTCTATCCTCTTTCAAGAAAATCCAATCAATACAACTTCTATTCAAATGTATGTACCAACCACAAAAGCTAGTGATGAAGAAATTGAAGAATTCTACCAGTGACTTCAGTAAAAAATTGATCAAACATGAAATCAAGATGCATTGATAGTTATTGGTGAGTGGAATGCAAAAGCTGGAAATAAAGAGGAAGGAACAGTAGTTGGAAACATGGACTTGGTGTTAGAAACGAAGCTGGAGATCGTATGATAGAATTTTAAAAAAACAATGACTTGTTCATAGCAAATACCTTTTCAACAGCACAAAAGGTGGATGTACACATGGCCTTTCCTGGATGGAAGTCACGGAAATCAAACGGACCACATCTGTGGAAAGACACAATGTTCTACAATATCTCCAATGTGCTTAATATCAGCAGCTAAAATCAGACCTGGGTCTGACTGTGGAACAGACCATCAATTGCTCAAATGTAAGCTCAGGATAAAGCTGAAGAAAATTAAAACAGGTTCACAACAGTCAAAATACGACCTTCAGTCTATCCCACCTGAAATTCAAGAACATATTTTACTTATTGAACACCAAGGGCAGAAGACCTAATGAGCTGTTGGAGAATATTCACGAAGAAAGCAAAATGTCATTAAAAAGACAGGAAAGAAAGAAAGATCTAGGTGGATATCAGAAGAGACTGACACTTGCTTTTAATCGTAGAGCAGATAAAGCAAATGGAAGGAGGAGTGAAGTCAAAGATCTGAATCGAAATTTTCAAGTGGCAGTTCAAGAACATTATAATGAAATGTGCCAGGACCAAGAACTAGAAAACCCAAAGGGAAGAACACACTCAGCATATCTGGAACTGAAAGAACTCAAGAAAAAATTCAAGCTTCAACGGAAATTTTAAAAGATTCTATGGGCAAGGGAACTGATTACAAGGATCTAGATGTGACCTCCTCCCTGGGGGATTGACAACAGGAAAAGTGGGTGAAGGGAAACATTGGACAGGGCAAGATATGACAAAATAATAATTTATAAATTATAAGGGCTCATGAGGGAGGAGGGAGGGGAAAAAATGAGGACCTGATGCCGGGGGCGTAAGTGGAGAGGAAATGTTTTGAGAATGACGAGGGCAAGGAATGTACAAATGTGCTTTACACAATTGATGTATGTATGGATTGTGATAAGGGTCGTATGAGCCCCTAATAAAATGATTGAAAAAAAAAAGATTCTCTGGGCAAATACGGAATGATGCAGGAACCATTATGAGAAGTTGGAAAGAATGCACACAGTCCTTATACCAAAAAAGAACTAGTCCACATTCCACCATTTCATAAGGTTAACGTATGAGCAAGAACCAGTGGAGCTGGAGGAAGAAATTCAAATGGCATTGAATGCATTAGTCAAAAGCAAGCTCCAGGAAATGATGGAATACCCCTTGAAATGTTCATCAAGCTTAAGAAACACTGGAAGCACTCACTCACCTATGCTAGGAAATTTGGAAGACAGCTATTTGGCCGGCTAATTGGAAGAGATCCCGATTTGTGCCCATTACAAGGAAAGGTGACCAAACAGCATGCTTAAACTATAGAATGATATCATTGATATCCCACGCAAGTAAAATTTTGCTCAAGATCATCCATCAATGATTATAGCAGGATAGTGACAGGGAATTTTCAGAAGTTCAGGCTGGATTCAGTAGAGGACATGAAACAAGGTATATCGTTGCTGAGATCAGATGTATCTTGGGTCAAAGCAGAGAATACTAGAAATATGTTTACTTGCGTTACATAGACTACACAAAATAAACTGTGAATAACCTTAGAAGAATGGGAATTCCAGAACACTTCATTGTGTTCATTTGTGACTTGCACATGGACCAAGAGGCAATTGTGTCAACAGAACAAAGGCATACTGCATGGTTTAAAATCAGGAAAGGTGTGCCACAGGGTTGTATCCCCTCACTGGACTTTTTCACTCTCTATGCTGAGCATGTCATCAGAGGAGCTGGTTTATATGAAGATGAGTGCGGCTTCAGGATTGGCGGAAGGCGTATGAACAACCTGAGATATGCAGATGATACAGCTCTGTTTGCTGAAAGTGAGGAGGAATTGAAGCACTTGCTGATGACGATCATGGACTGCAGCCTACAGTGTGGATTACAACTCAGTATAAAGAAGACCCAAATCCCCACAATTGGGCCAGTAGCTAACAGCATGATAAACAGAGAAAAGGTTGAAGTTGTCAAGGATTTTGTCTTGCTTGGATCTACAACCAGTGCTCATGGAAGCAGCAGTCAAGAGATCAAAAGACATAATGCATTATTTAAATCTGCTGCACAAGAACTCTTTAGAGTATTGAAGAACAAAGATGTCACTTTGTGCACTGGACCCAAGCCCTGGTATTCTCCATTGCACTCAATCCACGTGAAAGTTGGACACTGAGGAAGGAAGACTGAAGAAGAATCTATCATTTGAATTGTGGTTCTGGAGACGAATATTTAAAGTATCATGGACTGCTCAAAGGGCAAACCTATCTGTATTGGAAGAAATAAGACCAGAGTATTCCTCAGAGGCAAAGATGGCAAGGCTTCATATTAGCTACTTCACACATGCTGTCAACCAGTCCCTGAAGGAGGACATCATGTTAGGGGCAGCCAGAAAGAGGAAGGCCCTCAATGAATGGACACAGTGGCGGCATCAATAGGCCCAGGGACAGGCACAATTGTGAGGATGGTGCAGGACCATGCGGTTTCTTTTTTGTGCCTACGGTTGCTGTGTCGCAGCCAACTCCATGGCACCTAACATATTTTAGCATGTGTGACGACTTTATGTTTTCTGATGGCTGAGGACATATTTTATCAAATTTTGCATGCATGTATCATTGTACCTATGTCTCAAATTTCGTCTATTCATGTATCTGTTGATAGGTTTTTGGGTTGTTTCCATCTTTTATCTGTTAGGAGTATTGCTGCAATGTATGCACGCTGCTCTAAAAGTCTGTGTCAGAGCCTTCTCCGTCCTTTTATTCTTTTTAGTCCTCTTCCCCCTGTTTCATCTGCCTTTATCTTTTCTTTCCATTTTCCCTGACGAGATATGTGTTAGGTGTTTGGTTGGGTGTTAGTAGCACAAAAGTTGTTTAATTAAGGTCAAAGAAGGTGCTAATTTTTTATATGAACACCGATGAATGGGCAGTTATTAACCACTTTGGTTCATGGCGAGGTTCTCCTGTGGTCAAGAAAACCCTATGGAACAGTTCTACTCTGAAGTCCATGAGGTTGCCATGAGGCAGGGACAAATTGATGGCCACATCTTTCGCCTTATTTTTTTTTCTTTTAGCCCACTGCATTCATATTTGGCAATTCATGTCTCACGGAGGCTTTTTATTTTCCAAAAAAAAAATCAAGGCAATCTTTAGTAATGAGTTCAAATGGAAAGAATTTGCTCTTTAGGATTGTTGCTTTTTGTAGACATTGTATAGATGGTGATTATTCTGATTTCACTGTATTTTTTTGATTTCGCAGGGAACACTATCTGCCCGGTGCCATTGCACTTTTCAATGTCAACAACAGCAGCAATAAGGACCAGTGAGTATATTTACAACAGAAACTAAAGCTTTGTTTTATAGAAAAACTGGCTATAAGATCTGGATCTGTTATAAAGCCAGTATTTATTAGGTAAAATCTATTATAATGACAATGAGAATCTGTTTTTTTGTTGAATGACTGCTGAACAAAAATGCTATTACTCATGCTAATTACACATAGTTGTATTAGGCTGGGTTCTTTAGAGAAGTAAAATTAGTGATGCTTATATATATATAGATATAGAGATATTTATATCAAGAAAACTACTCACACAGTTGTAGAAATGAGCAAGTCCAGGTCTAGGCAAGTCCATGGGTCAGATATGAAAGTGGAAGTATCTCCTGGATCTTGCACTTGTGGGGCCTGATTTCAGGAAAGTGACAGGCTGGTGGCTACAGAGGTATATTAATCCAAGTTCTACAGCTTATATGGGAGGCCCCAGATGATTCTTAAGATGGCAGGCAATATGGCAGGTCATTAGCTCAAAAGAAACCGAAGTTGATGAGTCAGATGCAGCAAAGACCCAGCAAAAAGCAAGCAAGTTTTCCCATGGTATCCAAATATATTGGAAATAAGACACAACCCAGAGGAAGTTTTTTCAATTGTTTGCCCGGGGGCTGTGATCTGAATAAGGTGTTCAATTCTATCCTAATCTTATTCCATTATGGAGGCTTACAACTGATTGCCTGTGATTACATTGTGTTAGGTCAGGTCATTGAGGATTATTATGTTTTAACTGCCAAATCATTGAGAATCCTGGCCAAGCTAAATTGACACAAAACCTTAACTATCACAGTAGTGCTAATTTATTTGAATACGATGGTTGCAGTAGTTTATCAGCAGGGTACTGCCATAAATTCAAGCCATGTTCAGAAAAAAGATATGGATCAGGGGCTATCACTCCTGACTGACATCAGATGGCTCTTGACTGAAAGCAGAGAATACTAGGAAGATGTTTACTTACATTTTATTGATTATTCAAAAAAATTATTATTTTGCTGTGTGGGTTATAATAAATAATGAATAACAATTCAAAAAATGGAAATTCCAGAACACTTAATAGTGTTCATTAGTAGCCTGTACATAGACCAAAAGGCAGTTGTTCAAACAGAACAAGAATTACTTCATGGCTGAACATCAGGAAAGGTATGTGTCAGTGTTGTGTCAGGGTTGTATACTTTCACCATACTTACTCAATCTGTATCCTGAGTAAATAATACAAAACTCTGGACCACAGGAGGAAGAACATGGCATCAATATTAGAAGAAGGTTTAGGAACAACATGTGATATGCAGAAGATCCAGCCTTGCTTGCTGGAATTGAAGAGTGCTTGAAGAGTGAAGAGTACTTATGGAAACAGATCAAAGACCACACACTTGAGTGTGGATTACACCTTAATCTAAAGAAAACAAACATCCTCACAAGTAGACAAGTGGTAATGACACATGAAGAAAAGGCTGATGTTACCAAGGATTTCATTTTACTTGGCTCCACAATCCACACTCATGGAAGCAGTAGTTAAGAAATCAAATGATGTTTATAAATTAGCAAATCTGCTGCACAAGTGTTTAAAAGCAAAGATGTCACTTTAAGTACAAAGTTGCACCTGATCAAAGTCATGGTATTAAATATGAGAAAGCAGGACAATGAGTAAGGAATACAGTAGAAGAACTGATGCATATGAATTATGGTTTTAGCAAGGAATAATGGAAGTACCATGGGCTTTCAGAGAACAAATTTGTCAGGAGCGGTATAGCCAGAAGCTAATTAGAAGCAGGATGGAGACTTTGTCTGACATACTCTGGATATGTCATCAAAAAGAACTCGTCTCTGGAGAAGGACATCATGTATGGTAAAGTAGAGGGTCGATGAAGAAGAGGAAGACTCTCAATGACATGGATTGATACAGTGATTGCAACAAAAAACTCAAATATAACTACACTTGAGGATGGAGCAAGGTTTTGACAGTGTTTTTTGCTCATATGTTCCCTTCGAGCTGGAACAAACTCTATGGCACCAAATAACAACATGTAATTGCCTTTCTCCTTAGATTGAGTGACAAAAAAATAAATGAAGCATCTCTAATATTTTTCATTCTGAGCTAATGGTTAGTGGCACCCTAGGGTAATGGTGCTAGCCAAGGGCCTGTAGTGAATTTAGTACTCAAGTATAGCAATTTAAGCAAATTATCTCTAAATCTTTCAGGGAAAAGATGAGGGGAATCATACTAAGAATACATTTCGGGTATCGTAGAAAATTTAAAAATTTTTTATGGGGGTTTGACTTCTTCAGTTAATTGTTTCATGTCTGAGAACTGTCTCAAGTCTATAAACTATTCAAGGGGCAGTGGCTTTGTATCAATACAAAATGTGCTCAACTATCTGATTAGCCATTCCTGATCTGATTTAGTTTTACACACTAAGCCCTGGGTGAGTACTGGTCATATTTAGGAACACAATATTCTACTTGCTCTCATAGCTCTCTGTAGACTAGACCCATGTTCCCTTTCCAATTATTGGGATCACATTAATTCTAGTGGTTAATCACTACTATACTCAATAAACCAAAACCAAACTCACTGCCATTGAGATAATTCTGACTCATAGCGACCTTATAGAACTAAAATAGAACTGCTCCAGTGGGTTTCTGAAACTATAAATCTTTATGGGAGTAGTAGGCCTCGTCTTGCTTCCATGGAGAAGCTAATGACTTCAAACTGCTGACCTTGAGGTTAGGAGCCCAAATCGTAACCTACTATGGCTACTATTATTTCCAGATTCTATCATCCCTAGTTATCTCAAGGGATCTAGTTATATAAATAGCATCTTCCACGGTCAGACTTGACCTACAGAGCCCTCTCACCAGCTCATTCCTTTCGTATCCTTTGTATACAGTACTCTCTGGGCCCTGTCAGTGAGCATATTCGGCTGGTGACTATATTTCTTATATATTATACCCACCTTAGCATGCCATTTCTCTGAGTTCAATAATACTTTCCTTACCTTGAATGAGCCATTCTGTCTCTGAGGATCTTTGCTAGGGTGCTAAATTCTGTATCACAGGAACATGTCCCATAACATTCTGTATTCTTTCCCTGTTTCCATATCACTGCTTTAGAAGCTAAGTCCCACCATACTTGTCAATCTTGTCACCCATTTCTTCCCAAAGGCAATCTTCCACATCTGCCAGGCAATTCTTACCCACACTTATCCATTATACCTTAAAATCTTGTGCCTTCAACATCCTCCCTCTTAGGTTCACCAGCTGTTACCTCAGGACCTACTCCCCTTTAACACTCTTCTGATTATATCAGTAGTGAGATGCCTGTTCATTTATGTATGAAAGAAAACCCTTCCCAAAATATCTAAGCTAACAATGACTGCCTAAAATGACCCAGGTTTGTCTAACTCTAGAATTCATTCTTCTACTAATAGAGAAAACCAATTGTAGAAAGAGGTCTTTAATAACATAATCTCCACTCAAGAAGACTGTAGACAGAAAAAGGTAGTTTAAAATCCAGTTATTGATTCTAATAATTGGGATTCTACTGTATTAACAAGGAGCTTAATACAACTCATCAAAAATGATCCCATCTTGATAAAATTGAGTATATCTCAAGCTGAAAGAACTGAAGGTAAAATTCAAGTCTCAACATGCAATATTAAAAGAGCCTATAGACAAAATATTGAAAGATATGGGAAACATAAAAAGAATATGGAAGGAATACACAGAGTTACAGTACCAAAAGAACCAGGCAACATTCCACAATTTCAAGACATAGCATATGATCAAGCTCCATTTGAAGGAAGAAGTCCAAGCTGCATTGAAGGCATTAGCAAAAAACTAGTACCAGGAGTTGATGGAATACCAACTGAATGTTTCAACAAGATGATGAAGCATTGGAAGTACTCATTTATCTATGCTAAGAAATTTTGAAGATAGCTACCTAGCAAATCAACTGGAAGAGATCTATATTTGCATCCATTCAAAAGAAAAACGCATATATTCCAACAGAGTGTGGAATTATTGAATAATAAATCTAATCAATCTTATCTGCAAGTAAAATTTTTCCGAAGATCATTCAACAACTTCAGCAATACATCAATAAGGAGCTATCAGAAATTCAAGCCAGATTCAGAAGAGGGCATGTGGCATGAGGGAAATCATTGTTGATGTCAGATGGTTCTTAGCTGAAAACCTGAAAATACCCCAAAATATTTGCTTGTATTTTATTGACTATATAAAGGCATTAAACTGTGTGGATCATAACAAACTATGGAAAACATTCAAAATAATAGGAATTCCAGAATACTTTGTGCTCATTCAGAATCTGTATAAGGAGCAAGAGGCAGTTGTTCAATCAGAACAAGGAAATACTGCATGGTTTAAAATCAAGAAAGGTGTGTGTCAGGGTTGTGTTCTTTCACTATATTTATTCAATCTGTCTGTTGAGCAAATAATCCCAGAAGCTAGACTAGATACAGAAGAATATGGCACAAGGAGTATAGGAAGACTCATTAACAATCTACTATTGAATTAGCTGAAAGTGAGGAGGACTTGAAGTACTTGCTGACGAAGAACAAGGATTGCACTCTTCAGTATGGATTACAATTTAATGTAAATAAAAGCAAAATCATGATAAACAGAATAGACTGATGTCAAAGATTTCATTTTGCTTGGATCCACACTCTTGGAAGTAGTAGCCAAGCAATCAAAAGATATATTGCACTGGAAAAACCTGCTGCACGAGATCTTTTTAAAATATTAAATAACAAGGATGTCACTTTGTGGACTAAGATGTGCCCGGACACAAGCCATGGTGTTTTCAATTGCCCCCAGTGCATGAGAAATTTAGATAAAGAATAAGGACGATCACAGAAGAATTGATGCACCTGAATTATGGTGTTGGTGAAGACTATTGAAAGTACTATTGACAGCCAAAAGAACAAGCAAATCTATCTTGAAAGAAGTACATTAAAAAGCCATGAAGTCTCCGAATTATCCCGATCACAGACTTCTGATCAGGGGGTGGCACTTGCCACCCCATCTGAACTGGTTGGGGATTACTCACTAGGGGGACACATTGAATGTCTAAAGGCTTAACTGGGAGGGGGGACACTAGACTACTTCATCCCTGACTGCAGAAATAGCAATGGGGACATTTAGGATGCTTGCCTTTAGGACATGAATGCTGAAGACTACAAGGGTATATGAGTTGTTAGGTAGGCAGGACCTGGGATATGCAGCTCCAGAATAAAGGGGAATTGGACTGATGGTTTATAACACATCCTTCTCTCTATTTAACAGAGAGATATACATCTGCTCTATATCAGGATCTCTGTTAACGTTGTGATTATCTGTATGTTGACTTATTTATTCTTTTTGATGTTTATCTATATAAGATAGGCAGGATAGGCAATCTTATGAAGACAGTGACTGGTCTTACAGTTCCTGGGGGTCATGGGAGGCAGGGAGCCAACAATGATGGGTACAGGGGAACAGTAAGTACTCTAAAATTGATGGCAAGGAGGGTATAGCTTTTCTGGTTGTGTTTAATCAATCAAATTGTACCTGAGAGGAATTACTGAGAGGTGAATGACAGGTAAACATAGTAGTGCGGTAGGAAGAAAGAAAATAGAAAAAAAACCATATAAATATATAAACATATGTGTATTTGCTTATGTATGTATATATCTATATATTCAAATCCAACAAGGAAGCAGATGGACTTTGGGACTCTACTTAAATCTTACCTCAGTTCAAGAACAGTTTGTCCTAATAATGCAGCATTATATGATACCCACTTTCCTGACACAATCACTGAAGACAAAATGGATGCATAAGCAAATGTGGTGAAGAAAGCTCATGGTACCCAGCTATGAAAAGATAGTTAAACAAGCGGCCATCTAACAGGGAAGCAACAAAGTCCACATGGAAGAAGCACACTAGCCTGTATGATCATGAGGTGTCTGTGGGAAGAGGTAACAGAAGTTCAAAAACAAACAATCAAATCTATGTGAAGAGGTGTGGACGAAGTGGAGGCCCCAAACCTACCTGTAAGATAATTGGACAGTCCCTCTCAGAAGGGCCACATGGAAGGGATGAAAAATCCAGGATGTGGTATAGCACTGATGAGCAACATAACTACCTCTAGTTCTTTAATATTTCCTCCCCTTACTATTATGGCTTCTATTTGTTTTACCTCATTAATCATGTTAAATTTGTATAGTTTATTGGCATATTTACGATCTTTTGGTACATGAGATAACCTTTCAGACACAGTAACAGAAGTTACTGGAGTTAAATTGGGTATGGAAAGGGGAGTGGACTACGGAGCTGATAGCACTGATGAGTGTAAAACCCTACTCGATAGGGAAAAAAAAAAAGGTCCCTGGGGGGTAAGAAAGGGGGAGGGAGGTGACAAAGGGGAGCTGATTCAAGTTCAAGAATAAAGAAAATGTTTTGAAACTGACTGTGATTGAACTATGTAAGAGCTCCTAATAAAATGATTAAAAATTAAAAAAAAAAAAAAAATGCTCATAACAAGGCCAGGATGGCGAGACTGTTTCTTGTACTGTTAGACACATTACCAGGAGAAATCAGGGTCTAGGGAAGACCCCCGAGCGAGGAATTGGCACAGTGGCTGCAATAATGACTGCAGACGTAACCATTACTGTGAGGTTGGCACAAGACTGGGCAGTGTTTCATTCTTTTGTACATAGTGTTGTAAAAACTGATGCATACCTAATAACCAAAAAAATAAGCTCCTCTTGATATTTTTCATGTTTTTAAAAAGATAAATATGAATGATATCAAGCAACTTACATTTTCAACATCTGCTTGCTTTTTGCATGCCTGACACTTAGAAACCATACTCCTTTGTACGTATCATCTCTTACATTTTCCTGCTTTGGCTTATATTTTTATCTGCCTCCATTTTCCTCAGTTTCCACATCCACTAACTAAGACTGTTTTTTTTGCTTGTTTAATTATATGCATCTATTTTTAGTAAAAATTTCCATTAGGATTGTAAATTTCCAGATTCTCAGCCTTAAGAAAGGCCTTTGCGGGAAAGGTTGAAAAGTACCTACGAAAAGGACAAGAAAACCCAGAAGTAAATGCATCTACTTACATGCAACTGATTTCTGACAAAGGGCCAGAAATCATAAAATGGGAAAGAGACAAACACTGGTGGTGGCAAAATTGGATCTCTATCTGCATAAGAATGAACCAAGACCCATAACCTGTCCCATACCGCATACCCCAAAATAAACTCAAGATGGATTGACCTAAATGTCAATCCAAAGCCATAAGGACCACCACTGAGAAAACTGGGGAAAAATTAAGGGCCCCATTCCAGGACATACACAGTTACATACAAATATGATAAAGAAGTATACATAGCAGAAGATAAACTACATAACTGGGACTAACTAAAAATAAGACACTCATCCTGCCAGAAGACTTCACCAAAAGAGTGAAAAGAGAGCTCCCGGGCTGGGTAAAAATCTTTAACAATGACCCGATAGACAACTAATTACTAAAATCTACACAATTTTGCAACGTCTTTCTAAGAAAAAAAATAGTCCAATTAAAAGTGAGCAAAAACCATGTCATGAAAAATGATACTGAGATGGCTAACAAACCCACGGAAAGAAGTACAAGGCCACTAGCCTTCAGCGAATACCCTCTGACCATTGACCAAGGATATCAGTCTACGGTGGTGTAGTGGTTTTGCACTGAGTGGCTAACCACAAAGTCTGTCTCTCTAAATCACTAGCCTTTCCTCTGGAGGTGATGCTTTCTACTCCCGGAAAGAGTTTACAGTCTTGGAAACCCACCAGGGCAGTTCCACTCCATTCTGTAGGGTCGCTATTAGTTGGAATCAACTCAAGGGCACTGAGAGTGAGTGACTGATGAATGGCCTTGCTATCAGAGTGCACTGGAAAGTGGAGCAGTGCAGATGTAATTAGGTTAAATGTAACACCTTATCATTTCTTCTCCCTTTTGTTCCATTTTAAATTTATTCTAGTTTTTATTACTTTGTGCTTTCTTTTTTAAAATGAGTTTTTTCCTTTCTTTTATTTTGTTATTGTTCTTGGGCTTGTGTTCTGCTTTTATGGCATATTTTTCTTTATATGAAATCTAAGATAGGTAAATCTATAGAGACAGTAACTAGATTAATAGTTTCTTAGGGTTGTAGCCAGGGACTTCGGGGGAAATGGGGAGCTAGTAATAATGAGTACAAGAAAGAAGAAAATGTTCTAAATTTGATTGTGGTGCCAATTGCACAATTCTTAAATATATTTAATTGTATGCTATGTGAATTATATGTCAATAAAACTGTTAAAATTTTTTTAAATGGTGGGCAAAGTGTAATTTGGCTAAATAACAGAAATATTTATTTTTTAGGGAGCCAAGAGAAAAAAAGAAGAAGAAAGAAAAGAAAAAGTAAGAGTTTGGATGGATACCTATTATCTTTTCCATTATTTATTTATTAATACTTAAAAATTGTGAATTTGGTTAAGATTTACAGAGTATATCAGTTTGGCATTCAACAATTACATACAGTTTGTTTCGTGTCATTGGTTGCAGGCGTCAAAATATAGCATCCCTCATCCCACTTCTGTTTCTTTCCCATTGCTTTTACTTCTCAAACCCTTCTTTCCTTCTGAACTTTGCCCTTGGGTAAATGCTTCCTTTGGGATTTTGAATTGTGGGTTGTTCTAAAGTGTGTACTTCCCTAGTGTTATTTTTCACCTATGGTTATTAGGGTCATTGATGCTGAGGTTAATGTGGTATTTTAGTCCTTTGACTAATTGTTTCCATGTGTCTTTGATTCTCATCATTCTTCATTGCTTAAGCCAAGAAGAGACCAGTAGTTCGATATTTTTAATTTTAAAAACCTTTAAATACTAATTTAACAACTCACTTTTCTAGCAAATCAGACGGTAAAAATGAAAATAAAAAGGTACCAGAGAAGAAAAAGAAGAAAGAGAAAGAAAAGAAAGTGGACAAAAGCAAAGATAAGAAAGAAGAGTAAGTATTTTAATGACATTGAAATTAGGGCTGAATTTGTGATTGATGGTTTTTATTCATGCAAAGGATAATACTATGATATAAACAAGGAAGCTTGATAATAAAGGATATGTAAATGGATATCAAATGGAATATGTAAATAGCTATCAAATCAGTTCCCTAAAATCACTCGTAGTGTATTACTTTTGGATGCCCCTGTGGCCTGGTGAAGTAAGTGTTGGCTTTCTAGTTACAAGGTGGGTAGTTCAAACCCAGAAACTATTCCTCGGTGAAAGATGAGGATATTTTCTCTCATAAAGATTTACCACATTGGAATCTGAAAACAGGGTAGCTATGAATAAAAAGTACTGGAAGCACTTCAGTTTAGAATATAACTCAGTATAAAGAAAACCAAAATCCTCACAACTGGACCAATATATAATAACATCATGATAAACGGAGAGAAGATGGAAGTTGACAAAAATTTCATCTGGCTTGGGTCCACAATCAATGCTTATGGAAACAACAGGCAATAAATCAAATGACATATTGTATTGAAAAACCTGGCATATAAACTTCTTTAAAGTGTTTAAAAGAAAAGATGCAACTTTAAGGATTAAAGTATGCTTTATCCATGCCAAGATATTTTCAATTGCCTCTTGTGCATGGGAAAGTTAGACACTAAATAAAATGATTTAAGAGGAAGTGATGAACTTGAATGGTGATGTTGGTGAATAAAAGTGAAAGTGCTGTAGATTGCCGGAAGAACAAACAAGTCTGTTTTGGAAGAAGTATATCAGGATGTTCCTTAGACGCAAGGACGGGGGTCTAATGTACTTTGGCCATTTTACCTTGGAAAAAGACGTACTTGATAAAGTGGAAGGGCAAGGAAAATGAGGAAGACCCTCAGTAAGATAGATGGATTGACATGGTGGCTGGAACAATGGCTCACAATGACAATTTTGAGGATGGTGCAGGAAATCGCAAGGTTTTGTCCTGTTGTACATACGGTCACTCTGAGTCACAGCTGACTTGATGCACCCGAGAACAACAGTGACAACAACACCACGAGTAAGAACTGACTGGATGACAGTAGTTTGGGTTTCGGGTTGGGGTTAGCATTATTTTTACTTTTCTTAAGACGATTTTCACTATTCCGCTTAGTTCCCTTCCCCAAGTACTGATGAAGGTTAACTTATTACAGATTAATTTACTACAAGTCTGAAGGACAATCTGGTTCCTAGGATCTTACCATTATTCTATTTTTTTCAAGCAAAACGAAAATTTAATAACGTCACACTTTTGAGTAATAAATACACTTGGTCAATAATTCTAAATAAGGAATCCTCATTATAAAGCTATGTTTAATTCTATGGTGATAAATAATGTCAAACATTAGCTTATGGAAGGGTCATTTTCAAAACAAGCTTGTGAGTTAGAATTTCACAAGGGTGAGGCCAAGTGGGAAGAACCAGCTGTAAACATCTCTTAATAATGGGAACATGAAATATATTAAAAATGAATCTAGGAACATTAGAAGTCATCAAAATGAAAAGGAACCCGGACAGATTGGCAAGCTAAACATTGTAATATAACATAACTCAAAAGAACGACTATTGGCCATTTTGCATTTGACGATCACATGGCCTACTATGACACAGTACACTCAAACACAGGAGTGACTGTGAAGATGACACAGAACCATTTTGTATTTTAATATTAAAATACAGAAAACATGTTGTACATAAGATCGCTATGAGTTGACATCTAACAACAGCTATGCTAAAATAAAAACTTAAAAAGGAATGGAGTACCACTCATCTTCAAAACGAATATTACAAGATATAACCTGTGGTATAAGTATATCAGTGATAGGAAAATATCCATATGACTACAAGAAACATCAGTTATTATTCAAATATTATGGGCTAACCACTTATACCAAAGACCAAAAAATGAAAGATTTTCACCAACTTCTGTAGTCTGAAATTTAATAAACATGCAATGAAGATATATAATCATTGGTGATTGGATGCAAAAGTTGGAAACAAGAATAGTTGGAAAAATACCACCTTGGTGATAGAAATGACTACGCACCTGGACCTTTCTAGATGCAATACACAGAAGTCTCTGATAGAGGTAATGGAGAATGCTTATAACTTCTTTCAGAACAAACCCAAGAACTAATTGAGTAAACCATCAATTGCTCAAACGAGGAGGTACCCAAAAACTGGATTTTTTTTTCTTTCCCAAAGCTATGTCTTTAAATTAAAAAAACAAAACAAAACACAAAAAACCTTATCACCTTCAAAGTATTCTTCATTACACTGAATTTTTGTCAGATCCGTGATTCCATTCTTGGAAACTATTTTCAAACTCATGTGTTTGGATAGCTGGCAGGACCTCCCTCATTTTTTTCTCCACCTCTTCTACCCTATCAAATCGCTTTCCTTTCATGTCCCTCTGAATTAGCAGAAACAAAAAGAAGTTGCACGGAGTGAGGTCAGATGAGTAAGGTGTGTGGGGCAAGAGAGGTATGCTTTTTTTTTTGTGCCAAAAACTGGGGCACTGAAATGACCGCATAAGCAGGTGCATTGTCATGGTGGCAAAACCAGTCTCCCGTCTGCCAGAAATCAGGCCTTTTTTGTTGTACACTGTTACGCTATCTTTTCAGACCCTCTAAACAGAAAGCTTGATTAACAGTTTCACTTGGTGGAACAAACTCCAAATGCACTATGAAGTCAACATTTTTGTTCATTTGGGAAGTTGACAAGACATTCAGAACAAGGTTCGTTAACTATTGACATCTCACTTTTTAAAAAATGAGAAAACCACTCATACACTTGAGTTTTTCCCATAGTGCTGTCCTTGTAAGCTGTGTTCAACATCACAACAGTTTCTGTGGCATTTTTCCCAAGCAGGAAACAAAATTTCACAGCTGCATGCAGTTCTCTTAAATCAGCCTTCACAAAGAATGAGGTTCGAGGTTCGAACAAAACTGCTTTTATGAGATATTCACTGTTACCAGAGAGAATCTTCCCAGGTGACACCACTGGGTACACTAATTCAGAGTGAGTTGCTAGATGCTTGCCTAGCAGGAAAAGTACGTACCACGAAAGCTTTGCTCTGCCCACCACAATTCCAGTTTTTTGGGGTACCCCCTCTTATGTATGTTCAAAATTTTAAACAAGTCTATGAGAGTAAAAATTACAAATTTGAGTATATCCTACCTGGATTAAGAGGCCAGCTCAACAAGAGACTTGATGCATTGAGCTCTTATGACTAAAGACCAGTTGACTTGTGGATGCCATCCAGGACATCATACCTGATGAAAGCAAAAGTTCATTAATAGGAAGGAAAGAAGAAAATGTCACATTGAATATCACAGAGTAGCTAAAGCAAATGGAACAAGCATAAAAGAGCTGAACAAAATATTTCCAAGGGCAGTTCCAGAAGACAACGTATTATAATAAAATGTGCAAAGACTTACAGCTAGTAAGCTAAAAAAGAAAAGCATTGTCAACATTTTTCAAGTTGAAAGAACTAAATAAAAATTGAAGCCTCGAGTGAAAATATTGAAGGATTCTGTGACAAAATATTAAATGGCTCAGGAAGCATCCAGAGGACATGAAATAAATTAATAGTCATTACACAAAAAAGAACTAGTTGACATTCAACAATTTCAGTAGGTAGCATATGGTCAAGAAGTGACGGTATTGGTGGAAGAAGTCCAATCTGCATTGAAGGTGTTGCTGAGAAACCAAGCTCTAAGAATTAATTCTTCCAATTGAGGTGTCGCAATAAGCAAATAAATGCAACTCTGGAAACTCTCACCTGTCTGTGCCAAGAAATGTAGAAGACAGCTACTGGCCAACGGACTGCACGTGATCCTTAACTGTGCTCATTTCAGAGAGGTGGTCTAACAATGGAAAAACTATATCACATGGGAATGAAGTTTTGTTGGCAATATTTCAAAATCAGTTGCAGCAGTCTATTACCAGGGAACTGCCAGAAATTCAAGCCAGATTTCGAAGAGGACATGGAATGAGGGATATCATTGCTGATGTCAGACAGATCTCGACTGAGTACAGAGAGTACCAAAAGATGTTTACCTGCATTTTATCTGTCTGAGCCATAACAATTTATGGATAACACTGTGAAATGGGAATTCCAGAACACTTACCTGGGTGTTTGCAGAACCTGTGTGTAGATCAAGAGGAAGACATTTGAACAAAAAAAGAACACATTGTATGGTTTAAAATCAGGACAAATATGCTTCAGGTTTCAGTCTGTACATAATACATATTCAATCTGTATGCTGATTGATTGCTGCTTGATTCAAATATTCTGAGACGCTATTAAGAACACAGCACTGGGATTGGAGGAAGCCTCATTAACAACCAGATGACACAACCTTGCTTATTGAAAATGAAGTACTTACTGATGATATAGATGACTTCAACTTTCAGTATTGTTCACACCTAAATTTATTAGTTTAAAAATTCTTTACAACTGGGCCAATAAACATTATGATAAATGGAGAAAATATTGAAGCTGTCAAGGATTTCATCTTACTAGGATCCAAAAACAACGTCAATGGGAGCAACAGCTAAGAAATCAAATGGTATGTGGTATTGGCATATCTGCTGCAAAAAGTCTTTCAAGTGTGAAGGAGCAAAACTGTCAGTTTGAGCACCAAGGTGTGCCAGCCTGTTGTATTTTCTTTTTTTTT